TTTAGCCATAACAAAGAGAGGAATAACAGCTTCCACATCCAGCTTCAAGACCCCAGCAGCTGCTGAAAGCTAAAAATAAAATCCTGGTTCTGTGGGAGCTTGACACCACCCCACTCCATGGTGCTTCCATTATTCTAATGTTTGTGAAAGAACAAAGCTAACTGGGCTCAGAGCAGACAGCTCGGCTTCAAGTTTGCAATACTCACGTTCAAAAGAAACATGACAGAACAAATCCTTCTTAAAGGCACATCTCGTAACAAACAGGTGAGGTCAGGCTGCCCCCTGGCTGTAATGCGAGTTCGTGGGCAGCACCCTGCCAACACTTACACAGGTCACACAAGAATAATGACCACTTGGTTGAGATACAACAAAGCAAGAGGTGTCTATGCCATGGGATTAGTGCCTCCTCAGAGAAGGGGGTAAAATCATTACTTGAAGATTCTTCCAGATGCTTTTCAGGAGCATGCTGAGGTTCAGGCTTCAGGTACCGCACTGGACCGACAACAAGAAGTTTTCACGAACAGGAAGGTTGAGCTGGGTAGGTTCTTCCCTTTTTTTCCCCAGATTAGCCACCAACTGAAGGACCTAAACAATCTCTATACCAGAAGTTGCAACCTGAAAGTGTTAATCCCAGGCAAGGAGCCTTCAATAAACAAGCAGTCACCACAAAACATTGTGACTTCCAAGAAATGCCTTGCTTAAGAAAGTCTTCCGCTTTCATTGACCTCAAGATTGTCACAACCTTTCAATCTCAAGTCTGCAAGAATTATTAAATATGAAGCTGTTGTAACACATGATTATTTGAAATGTAATTTGATCATGGCAGGATTTCAGTATACAGGGATCATCCTGCGTAGAACGATGGGCAACGTCACACAATGCAAAAGCCAATAGAAATTTAATACCACTTGGTGCATTTTGATTATAAACATATATGTTTTGACTGAGAGAAAGCTGAGTGATCAGAAAGAGCAAATAAATTCACATTTGCAAGATCTTAGTTCCACCACAGGTGCTGCTTTTATGTTTTAAGCTAATAAGTACTGAATGTAATAGATGAGATTTCACAGTGAATCTAGTTAGAATAGCAACAAGACCCCAGTAGGAGTATTGGTGTATTTTCGAACTCCACAGCATAAAAGGATTTTGAGGCCGCAGAGAGGCTATACTGCAGATTCATTTGAATGTTGCAACCTGTTATAGGTAAACACAATACCAACTTGTATTTAATGTAATGAAACATTTCAAGACAAACTAAACAAGTTATAACACCAAGTCACATAAGGAGACGTTGGGCAGCTGACAAAATATTCGGACAAAGAGGTGATTATAAAGGGAGAGAGTGAGCTAGAGAGACGGATGTAGGGAGGGTATTTTAGAGTTTACTTGCACAAAATCAAGTCACTAGGACTATTTTTGTTACGGCAGAGGGATTATTGAGTTATTCAGTAGGCGTGAAGAGAGGAGAGATTAGAAAAGAACAAACTGTCTCTGATGATTGAGGGGTCAAGAATTGAATCTGAGTTAGGACAGGGGAGTAGAAACTTCTCAGTTTTGTGAGCCAGTGAACTGCGCCAGCTAACACTTAAAGAAAGGACTATTAACATTCAAGATTAAGTTTGATAGGTGCTTGAAGGAAAAGGGACAAAAGGACATGGGAACATATGATTAGGACTACTGAGGACTAGAAAGGAGCTGCATCAAAACTGAGTGATTGGGTGATATGCTATTTTCCCAAATTGTAATTTCTATATGAGGTATTGAATATGTACATGGTGGCATAGATCATTAAGATGTCGCATTATGGAGTAGAAGCAAAAGTCTCAGAAAAACAAATTTGTTAAGCACAGTAGGGTTGATAAAATGCCTTCAGTATCAAATTCAATCAAAATCTTGTGTCATTCAATGCAGTGTTTCATCATTCATATCTTTTACAATCGCTGTGTGAAGCCTCATAACGAGTAATTTCATTTTCTGTTCTGAACTGTATTGTAGGATTTAGAGCTGTTTTCACATGACAAGAACAGCACAGCCTTTTTCAACAGCAATCACAATAATAACAACAGCTGTCTGTTTGTAAAGGTTTATGATCTTGGGTTTGAAACCAGTGCATGTTGTGACTTCTGCTTTATTCTGTTCTAGCCAACTCTTTCACTTGTGTTTTTTTCCCTAAGGCATTAAAGGCTAGATTTTCAACTTTGCTGGAAGGATAGTGAGTCAGCATGGCAAACTGTGCAATTGCCCAATTTCCATGACAGTGATACCAACCAAATTTGGTAAGATCTGTCAGGATGCCTACCTGCACTGGGAAACCTTCCCCTGGGAGAGGGAAGAAAATAGCTAGTTTAGACCTTAGTCATCTGTGGTAGCTGAACAGAATGAGCATCCTCAAGGCAATTGATGAGGAGGATCAGATTGAATAACGATCAAAAGATTGAGGAGGGTAGTCTGTTTCTACCACAAATAATTGCGCATCTCTAGAGGCCTCTGGCCTCCAGAAAGATGTTGTCCTTGCTCACAGACAGTGTTATGACTGACATAATGGATTTAAGCTGTCATTCTCACATAACTGAGATAACCAGGTGTAGAGCTGGATGAACACAG